ATCCACAGCCTGCAAGTTGTTGCATCATCATCCTGTTTCCTCTGAGTGGAGAAAATCAGACCTCATTTGTTCTTTGGGAGGTAAAATGGATCACTTTCTCCCACTCAGACCTGAGCTACTCTGTGGACATATACGGACTTTGACAAAGCACTGCCAGGGCTTCACATCTCTTCAGAGCCCTTCCCAAAGCCAGCACATCACAGAGGACTCCTTGCTGGGGATCAATGGGTCCCCCTGGCTGAGGGTCAGCCTTTGGTGTTCATAGGAAGCAGCCGTCTCTGCCCCTTATGTTACTTCTCTTGCCCTCAGTCCCCATCTTTTTCTCTTCTTTCCCCTACAGCCAGCCAGTCAGACACACAAACACACACACACACACACACACACACCCCAACCTCTTGCAAGCAGGAAGCCAAGCCCTGTTAGATCTTTTAAGTAATCTGCCATGAGGTTCTCTCTCTCTCTTTCTCCCTCCCTCCCTCCCTCTCTCTCTCTTTCCCCCATTCTTTTTTGCTGAACTTTCCCCTGCAAGTCTGGTCTGTGTCTGTCACGCCCCCTGGTGTCTATTCTGACAACTGGAAAGCACCAGGCTGTCGCTGCACATGATGGCGCTCCTCCAGTCCCTATGGTTCTTGTAACAACCCTCAGATGAGCTTCTCGGAAACCTTCAGCGTGTCATACCCTGTGAAAGGCAGTCTCAGTTTCCTGAGATTCAGTCATTTAACACATAACATCACCATTGCCTATTACTGTCAAGATGATTCCAATTTCTTATGACCTATATGTTAGAGTAGAATTTCTTGGCAGTTAACTTTTATGTAAGTGATTGCCAGGGCTTTCTTCCAAAGAGCTGCTGAGTGCGTTCAAACTGCCAGCCTTCAGGTTAGCAAAAAAAAAAAATCAAACTCATTGGCGCTGAGTTGGATCCGACTCATGGCGGTCCTTCTTTGGGTTTCTGGGGCAGTATCACTACGGAAGTAACCTTTCTTCTGAGGAGTGGCTGGTGGATTTGAACCGCCAGCCTCCTGGTTAGCAGTCAAGTGCCTTAGGCACTACGCCACCAGAGCTCCCCAATCACAAACCACCTGTGTTCCCCAGGTTTCTAGTATATATAATGGGAACATTCTACTAGTATAGTAGGACCTGTGCTGCAAACTTCTGTGTTCACCGGGTTTATTACATCCATCCATCCATCCATCCACGTGCATTCATTTATGCATTTACATATTTTAACATTTTCTTAAAATTAGGGCCTACATGTGCCACACTGAGGCACATGATTCTTCAAGTACCTCCAAGAGCAAGACGGGGCTTGACACATGGGAGGTCCTCAGTAAATGAGTAATGAATAAATGAATGGATAAATGAATGAATGAAATGGATGGTGCAAGCAGTTCAAGTGTTTAGCAGACATCCCATTCCAAGCCTGTCTTATTCCATCATCTCTCAGTCTCCCTTTTGACAAACCATTTCTTCCTTGGCCTGGAGCTATGTCAAAACCATTCTAAAGAGAAGATGGGGGTTGAAGTGAGGCTCGTGGTGCTTCTGTGATCCATTAGTTGTGGTACAGGCCACTATGTATTCACCAAAATCCAAAAAGAAAATTTTATGGACCGAGTACTGGAGCGCTTGTCTGTCTTTCTTGCAGTTGGGTGGGCATGTAACAGAATCTGATCAATGGAATGCAACTGTTCACCACTTCCAGGCCTCAGCCGTGAACACCTTCCATGGTGATACTCTGTTTCTTTGCCCTAAATGCTGGCCAGATGCATAGAAAACAGCAGATGGCGCCAAAGACCTTGGGAAGGACAAAGCCACATGCTGGAAGGAGCCTGATTACTGAAAGATTCTATGGAGTAGAGTCCCCTACCTCCACCCTCTGGCTGCTAACTGGGCTTTATGTAGGCAAGAAATGCATTTATTATTCTGCTAAGCAGTTGAAGTGCTGATTATTACGTGTTTCCATAGCTAACATGCCTTGACTCACCCACAAGCCCCGTTACCTTTGCAGCTGATGGGCTCAGACCTGTTGCCCTCAAAAAACAGCTTCACCTCTGGGGCCTTCTTGATATCAAATTCCTCCCGAAGGTCCTTCTCGATGGTGATGTCCACTTTGCCAAAGCCAAGCCCATTCTTGCCTTTGCCCACGATCTCCACAGCTCTGCCCAGCTCATCAGCCAAATTTCTGGATTGCTTTGAGGATGGGTTGTCTGAAAAAGCCAGTATGAAGACACTCACTAGAGCTTCTTTGCCCACCCCCATCTTCCAAGGAAAGTTCTTTGTTTGGGTTGCCTGGCTCTTGGGCCTTCCTTTGCTCAGCTGGCAATAGGTAAATGTTCAGAAATGTGACAGGATATGGGACATGATGGCTTATGAAATTATACAAATGGAGAGACACACACCAGGATTCACACATTTGGGTTCAGCACTGGAAATGGTACAACTTTGGGCAACTCACTTGATCTAAGTTCTAATTTCATCATGTGTGAAATGGGGAAAATAATAGTGACTACCTCATGGAGTTGTCAGAAATAAATTAGACTCATTTAATAATCACTTACATAGTGCTTAAGGTGCTCTAGTGGAGTAGCAGTTAAGGCACTTGGCTGCTAACCAAAAGGTTGGTGGCTCAAACCCAGCAGCAGCTGCATGAGAGAAAGATGAGGCAGTCTGCTTCTGTAGAGAGTTACAACCTTGGAAACCCTATGGGGCAGTTCCCCTCTATCCTACAGGGTTGCTATGATTTGGAATCGACTCAGTGGCAGTGAGTTTAGTTTTGAGTCTTACTGTTTTCTAAGACCTTTACATTTATTAATTCATTTAATCCTCCCAATAGCACTAAGGGATAAACCAAAACCAAACCTGTTACTTTTGAGTTGATTTCAACTCATAGTGATTCTATGGGACAGACAAGAACTGCCTCATAAGGTTTCCAAGTCTGTAATCTTTATGGAAGCAGACTTACACATCTTTCTCCTGCAGAGTGGCTGGTGAGTTTGAACCACCAACCTTTAGGTTAGCAGCTATGCTCTTTCCACTATAGTGTAGGGATTATTCTTATCATCTCAATTTTGCAAATGAAGAAACTAATGTACAACAAAATTATCTACTTGCCCAATGCACCAGCAGGGTCTGAACCTGCTCAGTCTGGCTCCAGCATTGCAGCCCTCCAACCTCCACTAAGTATGTGAAACACTTAGCACAATAGCTGGCACAAGGTATGTATTCAAGACATTATCATTACTACTACTACTATTATTATTATTGTCATCATTGTTGGATTTATATACAGGCAGTCTGGCTTATGAATGAGTTCCATTCTTAAGTCTGTCTTTAAGTGGAATTTGTATGTGAGTCAGAACAGTTTGATACGGTTCATATCTAACATCAGTTAGTCAAGTATTTGTCTTGGTGTATAGTATATAGTATACTTTTCTATGCATAAAAAAATCAAAGAAAGCCTTCCAGATACATTAAAACATCTTTAACATAATAATACAGTAATAATAATAATTCTGTTTTGAAGCACATTTCAGAGTAGAGCCCATTTGTTATTATGAACCATTGTGTGTACCATTGTGTGATTGGTTCATAATTATGGGTTGTGCATAAGTCAGACTTCTATAGCTCAAGGACCTGCTGTATAGTAAAAAATTACAGAGTAGAGAGGAATCATGATCACCATCTAGTGGACAGTCTTGGAACTAACAGGCTAAGTTGAGATCTTCCAGTTGTCATGTCATGGCGACCCCATGTGTTACAAAGTAGAACTGCACTTTACAGGTTTTCAATGTTGTCAGCAGATTGCCGGGCCTTTCTTTCAAGGCACCTCTGGGTGGATTCAAACTACCAAACTTTTAGTTAGTAACTGAATGCTTAACTATTTGCACCACCCACGAGGGACTAGTTGGAATTGACTCCACAGCAACTGCTTTTTTGTGTTTGGTGTTTTTTAGTTGTCACGCAGCTACATAATATGACCAAGGACTCTGTCATGTAAGAAAGATGGGGTGAGAGAACTAGGGTCAGGGAGTCGGGATTGGGTATAAGAGGAGTGGGATTATAGGAAGGAGGTTATGACACTTCCCGCCCTCTCTGATCCCATCCCCATTTGTGTTTAACACTCAGCATTGAAAGACCTGACATTTCTTAGCCCCTCACATGACTAGGTGAAGGGATTGAAGGAGCCATTTTCTAGAAACAGCCTCAGGGAGCTGCCACGTTGCCTTGGCAGTGGAAGGTGCGAAAAGGCGCTAGAGTTTGCTTTTCTTCCTACTGATAGCATTGTGAGGCTGCAGGTCCTTCAACTAGCCCTACCGTGCCCGATGTGTGAAGTACTTGGGCTGAGCCAAGGCAGGAGGTCACTGATTCCATCTCAAGCCAGAAAACTTTATCTTTTTCAAATCCTTCCATCTGGAGCCCTCACAGAAAATGCAAAGCACCTTTCCAGCCCAGAACAAGTTCCAAGTCCAACAGAGGAGTGTTTTTTCAGGTGCAGTGCAGCCATGGAACAGCTGGCTCAGTCCCTACTGCCAGCCAGCCTGCCTGTCCCTGCAGTGGCACTGAAGGTGAGTGATTGCTTTCATTAAATTCCTCATCAGTGCATGGGAAACAAGGCCTTATGCCTCCCCTGTAGATCGATGTCTCTCTATTGCCCCCATCCATCATCACCAGCATCGCTGCCCTACTGTCGGTCAGTGGCCTACTGAAGGTCAGCCTTCAAGGTGGATTCTGCTAGGGCCTGCTCAGTTAATGACTGACCCAGGGGAAAAAAAAAAAAAAAACTTGTTGCCAACAGGTTGATTCTGACTCATGGTGACACAAGTATTACAGAGTAGAATTACTGCATAGGGTTTTCTTGGTTGTAATTCTTACAGAAGCAGATTTCCAGGTCTTCCTTCCATGGCTCTACTAGGTAGATTTGAACTGCCAACTTTTAAATTAGTAGACAAGCACAAACTGTTTGCAGACATCATGTTCAAATCCGGATTTCTAAGGGCAGAGGCTCAGGACAAGAGGAACATCTGGAATAATGGCTCAAATTGCAGAGTTTCAGAGGTTCCACACATGGCCCAAGGCCCCAGAGTATCCAAAAGTGAAATAGGAGAAAGAAGTTGTGACAACTGGAATGCTGAGGACCTGGTAGAGAGGACCTCCAAAAGCCACCTAGCAATAATAATAGGGATTCATGCATTCATTCACTCATTCATCCATTCAAAAATCTTGTTTTAGGATCCATGATGTACCATGCACTATTCAGGGCACTAAGGATATATTGCTGTTGAACGCCATTGAGTCGACTCTGTGTGACCAAAAAAAAAAAAAAAAAGAGCAAAACCCCCATAGGTTTCCCTGACTGTAGTCTTTAAGGAAGCAGATCACCATGGCTTTATTGCACAGAGCCACTGGGTGGATTTGAACTGCCAATCTTTCAGTTAGCACCTGAGACTTTAACCTTTATACTACCAGGGCTCCTCACTGGGCATACAACAGTGAATAAATAGATGAAAATTCCTGCCCTTGATGGAGAAGGCAGAAAGTAAAATGTATTCTATGTTAAATGGTATGGCCTATGAATAAAAGAGAAGCAGGACTTGGGGAAGAGGTGGGAGTGAGCACGGGGGGATTGCAAGTTTAAATAAGGAAGTTAAAGAAGGCCTCACTGAGAAGAGTATTTTGATAAAGACAAAAGGAAATAGGAGAACCTGCCATATGGATAACTGGAGGGAGCACATCCCAGCAGAGGCAGCAGCAAGAGCAAAGGCCCTGAGGT